CTGTGAAACAAGTTGAGTAACATTTAAAACAAAGGTCAAAGTGAATGTGAAGGTCCATCATCAAATTCCTAGAGACCTCTGTCAAACGTAAATGCCGATAAAAAAAATCGCAAATTCGGGGATATGAATTCAGAAATATGATGTTCTTACCAGGGAAACTAAGAGCAAGGCCAGTGCAGCACCCAGCAACTCCAACGTTAATGGCTGCAAAAAGGAGATCATGTGAACATAAGCTAAGATACACTGAGACTTCATTTAGTACTATCTCGAAGGAGTGAGAGTGAAAAAAGAGGGAGAAATGTTAAAGAGTCTCACCGTCATCTTTCCCTCGTATTTGCTTCAAAAGACAAACAACCAAACTGTGTACTCCGGATAAAACTGCGAAAGTCTTAGCAGACTGACCCGCATCGACAAATGATCCTTTGAAGCCTTTCTTCTTAAACAATCCAGAACCTGAACCCAAACTTATATCATAAATCTAAACTTTATCAAGACAGGAACTAAAGGGGTAGCTCCTTCAAACAGATATGGTTGATCAATCATTAACTCAAGTAATCTAGTCTTTCCTCCAGTCAGTGGTTAAAGAGTAAAAGAACGGTAAAGTCACTCACGAGGAAGACAAACGCATACACATAAAACATATAATATGAAGAGAAATGAAAATTGATCATCACCATAGCCGAATATAGAGCCCATGACGGCGCCACTAGCGGCATCTCCGACGAAACGGACGAGACAAACGGCGGGAGAAGGGATTGTCAATGACTTGGAAGACTCGTCATTGGTCACTTCATTACCGTTAGGGTTTGAATCGGAATCGAGACTCGTGTCGACGTCGATGGCGTTCGAAGAATTCTCGGCCGCCATTGCTGAAGCTCAAGAAGATACACTTTCGATTTCTTCTACCTAATCTTGAAATATTATTTCCAAAAAAAAAAGATCATTCATTATGGGCCTTTATTGGGCTTAGAATAAACCCACTTGTGTCTCTAGGAAACCCAATAAAGGCCCTTAATTTGAAAACAGAGGAAGATAAAACATCATTTTGGTGAATTAACGAAACGATATTCAGATTACAAGGAAGCTGATTCAACTAATGATGGCCATACAACAATGGAAGATGTAAACAAGACAAACTAGGAATTTTGACCCAAGATGGGTCTTGTCTGAAACAATAGAGCCTGATTTATGGGTTCGTCATCAATCAGTAATGTTCATGGTCTTGATATATGGCTCCAAACTCAGCTCTCCATGCCTGATCATCGTCTGCATAATCGTCATAACTCACCACACCGGTTCTGTGTTTTGATACATG